TCGTGGATGCTATCTTGACATTTTTTTTTTTTTTTTGTAATTATCTCATTAAAAAGTTCATTAGGTTTGACTAAAATGGTATATGGACATTCTCTTTCTTTCTTTTTTATTTCTTTCTTTTTTGTCACCATAATAATATTAACCTTGTGGAAAAATAAATTTCGAAAAATCTAAAATTCATGGAATACACGTTCATTTCTAGGATCCCTTAACGGGAAAAGGAGATTGAAAATATTGATGATATAATTATGTTTTATAATAAATACAATGAGAGATTATAGTAACAAGTTATATTCATAAATAATCAATTCTCTCTTGTCTTTACATATGGAATATAGTCAATCCTTTCTTATTTTATTTTTCTATAGAAAGAAAGTATTAGGCAAGATTATTTTTTAACAAGATGTTAGAATCATTTAGCCTGTCTCATTAATTCTGCGCAGACCGGCTTGATCAAATTAATTTTGGACTGAGATTTGCCATTGCAGCCTTAAAGAACTAGTTCGGAAATATTTCTAGCATTCTATTTATATCCATCATTCTGTATTCCATCAACATATAATGAATGATTGACAATTATAATAAAGTTAATGTTATTTAAGCCATTTAACAAAATGAAAATAGTAATGGAAATTATATGTAATTTAATATGTAATTGTTAGTTAATCAGTGTATCTATTTTAATTTAAGTCGATGGGTAGTTTTATTTATTTTTAAATATACTTGTTGTATTTCATATGAAATCCAATATTTCTCCAAGATTATATTAGGCAACCAAGCTACCTAGTTAACATCCATCAAGTTACTCAACCATATAATTTGAGCAAACCTTGCATTGCTATTGTTAAACCTATAATGTATAGAATTATCAGTGTTTTCTTTTAACTAATTAAATTGAATAGATTAGCATACTAAAGCTGTTTTTTTTTTTTTTTGTGGTAATAGGAGCTCGTATATAAGATCAATTACATTGATAACAGTGATTTGATCGTGGTTTCTGCAATAAATGAGGTTTTTGTTTCGACTAATTTCTAGCATGAATCAAGCAAGACCCACATGTGGCTATCATTGTCAAGATTAGACTTGAAAGAGAATTAAAGTAGAATTTTCTTTTTTATTCAACATAGGGAAATAGAAGCTGCACATGGCCATCGTTTTCACTTGAGGAAGAATTAGACAGGGCTTCCAAAATGGCGAGAAAATATCCTCATGGACAAATTGCTGGTAGGCGAAACAGAAAATGGATCTCCAAACAAATGCACATGCAAGCATTTAACACTTGCATCAAAACCCTATCGGGCAAACTTTTAATGGATGAAACAGAAAGTTACTCAAATAATTTCCAGAGGAGAACAAACGCGATCTGGAGATGCCTATGAATGGAGATGTACTTTGAGGCAAGGAACTTCTACAACCACCAAAAATGATATTTCTGGGCCTGGTGACATATGGAAAGTCAGAAAATGCACATAAATGAATCTTTTGAGACAGGCGTACAACATTTTTTGTTATTATGGACGGGACAGAAGCCCAAAATAGCTTCAACGCAGGATTATCCCAGTTAG